GGCATTTGGACACTTTAAGATGCTGTTTCCTGACAGGAAATACAAAGACTTCACAGGGATGGTCCTTGTTGCCTGCCTTTCTCACGGGGCCCTGTTGGATGCTCTGTGTCCTCTCCTTTAGCCCATCCTCAGACAGAGATTGAACTCTGGACTTGGTCTGCTTTGGTTTAAACCATGACGTTGCCACTATCACTCTGTATAGCCCTGGTCTGTTTACTCTTTAAGTTTATTCCTTGTAAACCGAAAATGATAATCCCAGGTACCTCATAAGATTGTCGTGAAGGTTGAAGACATCATGTGTGAAAGGGAAACATTTGGCATAGAGACCAATACACTCTAGGTGATCAGTAATCACTGTTTTTATTGTTCTCTCTGCACCTTTCAGGATCAGAACACAACTTGGAGCTTGTCTGTCTTGGATGATATGTGGTTCCCATCAGTTACGGCTGAGCTACAAACATGGATATTTCCAATTGTACTATCTTCCTCCCTTGCTTTTTCTCCTCTGTCCTTAGAATCAAGGTATCTTCAAAGGTCCTTCTACTACACACAGGAATCTATTCCTCCTCTTACCACTTTGTTTCCAGGGCAATTGAAATAACCAAACACTGATTCACGTCAAGAACTCCCATGAAATCCATTTGTGGCCCTTTCGAACATCAGCGGGGAGCCTTCTTTCCCTGTGGAGTGAAAGCTGGTCTTGTCCACAGAAAGTGGGTGTGTGCAGGGTGGGGGCTGGGAGCTGGGGTCAGCTGAACCACTAAAAAGATTCTGGTGCTCAGATTTTCCTTCCAAGTGCACCCTGAACTGGTCAAGACGTACATCACCAAAGCCGCTTTCCCCTCCCTCCTGCCCGTGCCTGCCACAGGAAATTGGTGAGTCAGGTTTTATTTGGGAGAGGGTTTGCTGTACTTTTAAAATCTTTATGCTACTTTTTTTTTTTTACAAAGTTCTATATGTTAAAACAAATGGAAAATCGCTATAAAATTTATCAGTAATTATTACTGGTGAATTTATCATTAGTAAGAACTATTAAAGCCATATGTTAGAGACTATTCCAGAGTGATTATTTACAGTTCATAAAATATCATGATTAAACCATTTTATCAATGTGAAATATAAACATTGGATAGTATTTAACCACAAAATAAATGAGGCTTTTTAACTTTTAAAAAGTGGTCTGCTATATCTATCAATGACTAGATGAGTGTGTAATGCAAAAATCACACTACTTACCTGTCCGTGCATCTGTTAAACACCTCACAAATCTGCACTAAGAGTAGAGTGAGTACAGTTGAAGGAGCTTCCAGAGCAATCACCACATTAGAAAGGGACGTGTGTGCAGCACTGACCAAGGACAGAAGGAGAGAGGGTGTGGTGCAAAGGGATGAAGCAAGTGAGGACAAAGCAGAAGGGAGCTGAACTCAGTGTTCTAAATGGGATCCCCAGGTGGTAGCTGAAAGGGACCTCATTAAAATTCTCGGTCTTAGCAGTTTAAAGAGATGCAGTCCAGACAGGAGGTGAGCACTGAAACATGGCCTCCATGGACCACGAGCAAGGGCCTCTAGTCAGAGCTTGTGCACCCCAGATGAAAAGCAACATGCTATCCTAGCCTAGCCTATCCTATCCCTTCCCCAAGCCTGTTAAGCCTCTAAACCCTTGCTGACTGTGTAGAGACCGAGTTCTACCTGCATACCTGATTCTCTGATTCCATCCAATTTGGCGGGGCTCATGCCTGTGGCATTGCCTCCACTGGCCGCTGGCAGCCTCCTGCCCATCCTCTGAGACTTGCCCAAGGGCCGTTTTCCTCGGCCTCTCCTTTCCCTTTCCCTTACCTCAGGCTCAGAGGCTCCACCTCCACGTCTCCCTGGGCTCCTTCTCTCCATCCACCTACCACACTGTACACCTGCCATCTGTGCATTTGGGAGTGACATTCAAGATCTTTAACAACTGGTGCGGCACAGGTAATGCCCTGTCAGAACACAAGCCGGCTGTTTCCGTACCAGGGCTGAGTGGCTACTTCTCAGCCTTGGGGCATGTGAATTTCACCTACAAGACAGTAAACCCTTAAAAATAGGGGCTGTGTTTTATTCATCGATATAACACCAGTGCCCAGCAGATAGGAGATGTTTAATAAATGTTTGTGGATTGTCATTTCCATCCACCGAAAGAAAACAGCTTACGATGCATCTTTGAGAAAGCACATTACATTTGCCTCTGAAGGCTGCATGTGTAAATTCGTGTAATATGAACCAAGGGAGAAAGAGACGTGTTCTAGTAACATATTCTCAATGTTTGCTTGCAAACATGCTTCTTTGTCAAACCCTTCCATTTGCTGAGAGAAAACAGTTTAGGATGCATCTTAAACAAAGCATGCTTACATTTGCCTTTTAAAAATAAATAAATGTTTGTGGATTGAATGAAAAGACTAAGGTTGTTCCACAAAGGCAGGATAAGGAGGCACAGTCACCTCACTTTCAGTCACCTTGGCTGGTTGTTCTCGAATGTAATGCCCACACCTATGCGTCACTGTAGTTTGTATATCTGTATGGTAGTCAAACGAGGCAAAATCTAAAAAAATAATAATAATATTCTGGGCTTCCAGAAGTTAACCATGAATGCCCCTAAAGGTTTAGGTAACTAATTAAACATTTGTAAATTCTGGTCACTTTTAAAGCCTATTACCCCCAGGAACAGCACCCCATACCCCCACCCTCCAGAGCCCAGTATGTTTCACTCACACAAATTCTTACCACTTTCTAAAAATTTAACCAACCCAATAAATGACGTTTCTTTAAGGGCTGTTGAATTATGATATGCCCCTCTTGTATTATTGGGAGTTAATTAAAAGAGTATAAGCTTGTCCTAAGAATATATAATTGAAGAAAATTTCTCTCGGGACACAAAAATTAAAATAGAGGCATTAGACGGTCTTCTAGCAAAATCACACATCAGCCACACTCCCAAGGCATCGGTTCTGCTGTGTGGACTCAGCACCAAACAGCCCTCAGTTCAAGGCAGTTCTGAGGACAGCACTCCAATAGGTCTAGGATCTCAGCCTGTGCTTAGGTATGGGCTCCTTCGCTGGCATTGCCACTGACTTGGCTTTGTTTTACATAACAGACTGGAGCATTCATAAACGGGGACCTGTGCTAAATATAGCATGCATTTTATTTTCCATTTCGTAGGATGTACATGTAGTTTGTTAGGGGATTTTTTTTTAAATTCCCAGAAGCACCATCCTATAGCAATAAAATATTGTTTTAATCAAAAGCTTGTTGTACTACATGAGAAGGAAGTTCACCGAACTTTTCAGTGTAAAGGTTTGAGGGTCGATTCTTTAACACTGTTGAAAGAGGAATTTTGCAGTTACAGAAAAGATGAAAGGACAGTCCTGGTGGGACCCAAAGCAGAACCAGGGATCTTGTGATATAGCACATTCTACCATGACTGATTCTAACCAGGAAGGTTTTGAAGGCACATTACAGCACTAGACAGACCCAGAAAAAAATAATTCTATACCAAGCTGTAGAGGAGAGATCTGGACACTCCCAGCTTGGTGCTACCCTGACTCTCTAAGAGTCTCTCTGGGCAAAGGCATGGGCTAGTTCTGCCAGCTTTGACTGGAGGGTGTATTTCTGTCCAGTAGGTAGAGTTTGCTGCTAATTCTTACAAAGTGAGCTTTATTGGATGAGCGAATGAATGAGTGAAGAGCCCAAATAAAGCTGATTTGGGAGAACTCTGATGTGAACATGAAAAATCCCTTTGTTTTAGAAAAGTTGACAAGGGAGATTATATCCTATTTACCTAATATATATGGGAGTAGAAGGAACAAGCTTTCTTAAATGCTGTTTTCTGTAACACATTACTGATGTCCTACATTGTATCATGGTACATATCCTACTAGGTTGTCTATATTTCTATACTAAATATAAAATCCAAACAAACTGTTCCCATGAAGTGATCAAAGTGTAATCTATCTTAAAATGGAAGGAAAGCTAATACTGTTCTCATTGTGTAGATTTGAATAACTACAGAGAGGTTTGATGTTATAATACAGTATATACATCTTGAAGATCAAAATATTTTAAAGATCAGGTCAAATATATAATTTTCAAATTTATCTTATCATTTAATTTTGGTCATTGTTGTGTAACTCAAGAGTTGCTGCAAATAAATAAATAAAATTTCATCATCTGCATTTTAACTAATAAATCATGCAAGATAGTTGGTATTTGGTCGCTATGAAGTCCCAACATGGACCCAATAAACCTAGTTCTATGAACAATATCTAGGCATAATAAGTGCTTAATAAAATTTGGTTATTAGAAATTTACATCAGAAACAAAATTTGTAGTGATTTCCTTTATTGATCACTCTATTGCTTTCACTTGATCTCTGATGGATTAGAAGTCTATTAAATATCTCTACATTTTGCATGCATGATACAAATGCATTATAATTACAGCTGTCAGGCCACCCTTAGCCATGTATTATTTTCATTAATTAAAACAGCTGCTATCATGATGACATCATATGGGATTAGAAATCTAATGGGAAAGAAAATCTTGAAAAAGTGAAGTATGCAGAGTTAGATCCCTCATCTGAACAATGTATGGAGAATGAAAAGCTAACACTAAGCTAGTGTGGAGCAAATGGGCCCTGAGGGCAAGCTGAGGAGGGAGTGCTTCCTCCAGACATGCTGCCCTTGCCTGGCCCTCCCTGTCTTTCATCTTGCTTTCCCACCCCCACTGCCTCATCATAGTTATCTGGAGAGCTCACCAGGTAGGCTGGCAGCCGTGTGTGGGTTGCCTAATTACAGTAACCTGAGATGTCTTTATGGAGGGAAGTCTAATGATTGATATAATCATCATCACCATGATTAATACCTCAAAGGTGACCACACCCAGCAATGCTGGGAACTGGTGGGATAGGAAATGGGTGTGGCCAATGTGTTCCTTTAAATATCTGGGGTGCTGGCGCAGGCTCCCCTCTCTGAAGGCAGTTCTGGGGTGTTTTAGGTCTGTTCCTTCTCTCTCTTGCACACTATACTCTACACTTGACTTCTGTTCACCCATTTGGAAGGTTCCAGCTGGCACCATGACTGATGATGAGCTGTCTGCCTTGGTAGTGGATAATGGGTCAGGGATGTGCAAAGCAGGCTTTGGCGGTGACGACGCCCCCCGGGCTGTGTTCCCCTCCATGATAGGGCGTCCCCGACACCAGGGGGTTATGGTAGGCATGGGCCAGAAGGACTGCTATGTGGGGGATGAGGCTCAGAGCAAGAGAGGCATCCTGACCCTGAAGTATCCTATTGAGCATGGAGTAGTCACCAATTGGGACGACATGGAGAAGATCTGGTATCACACTTTCTACAATGAGCTCCGCGTGGCACCAGACGATCATCCCATCCTCCTCACCGAGGCACCCCTGAACCCCAAGATCAACCGGGAAAAGATGACCCAGATCATGTTTGAGGCCTTCAACGCACCTGCCATGTATGTGGCTATCCAGGCCGTGCTGTCCCTCTATGCCTCGGGACGGACCACGGGCATCGTGATGGACTCTGGGGACGGGGTCACTCACACTGTGCCCATCTACGAAGGCTATGCCCTGCCTCATGCCATTCTACGTCTGGATCTGGCAGGCAGAGACTTGACTGATTACCTCATGAAGATCCTGACAGAGCGAGGCTATAACTTCACCACCACAGCTGAGCGGGAGATTGTGCGCGACGTCAAAGAGAAGCTGTGCTACGTGGCCCTGGACTTTGAGCAGGAGATGGTCAGTGCAGCTGCGTCTTCCTCACTTGAAAGAAGCTATGAGCTTCCCGATGGGCAGGTGATCACCATCGGGAATGAACGCTTCCGCTGCCCTGAAGCTATTTTCCAGCCTTCCTTGCTGGGCATCGAGTCCAGTGGGATCCATGAAGCAACCTTCAACTCTATCATGAAGTGTGATGTGGACATTCGCAAGGATCTATACGCCAACACCGTCTTGTCTGGAGGCAGCACCATGTACCCAGGCATTGCTGACCGCATGCAGAAGGAAATCATAACGCTGGCACCCAGCACCATGAAAGTCAAAATCATATCTCCGCCAGAGCGGAAGTATTCCGTTTGGATTGGGGGCTCCATCCTGGCCAGCCTGTCCACGTTCCAGCAGATGTGGATCAGTAAGCAGGAATACGACGAGGCTGGTCCTCCCATCGTTCACAGAAAGTGTTTTTAAATGGGCTTCCGTCTTAATGGGTTTACATTTTCCCTTTTCCTGGGTCACAGTGATGGTACTGCTTTTATCTGCTTTCAACAGGACCAAGGTAAATAGTTCACTCTAACTAGTGCCTAAACCAGCAAACCCATCTGTCCATCCAAGTATCCTGGGCTCTTGCCCCACTAACCACATCTTGATCTCTATCAACTGAAGGTGAATTCTAATACCATATTCTATTCTTTTCACCTATACAGTTCAAAGAAAAGTAGTCCTGCTTAAATTAAAATAAGTGGCAAGGAGTAAAATCATGAGAAATGTCATATCAGAATGGATAACTAGAATTTCCAGGCTTTACAACCTAGTTCTTACCAAGATGTTTAACAATAATAGGCTGTACAAACCTGTAACAAAATGTGTATTCCTTTAGTGACCGTGTCTTATTTAAGTATTTGTGTTTTGTTTACTTCTTTGTATGAAGACACTGAATTATATAGGTCAATAATATTCATGTATACATAAGCACCAGAGAAATAAAATATTACATCATAAAATATACTGCTCTTTTTGGTCATCTGAACAGTTGATGTGAATTTCTTTGCTTGCCAACAGTCACCATTTCAGTGGCTGCATATTTTAATTCTTTCCCTTATTAAATAAGCATAATGAAAAATCCACCATTCCATTTATGTTGTTTATAAATCAACTAAATTTTCAGCTCTAGAGTGGAGGTTTGCTGGTCAAACACATATTTTAATATCTTACTTATTGAACCTCATTATACTTGTAAAACAGCAAAACTACAAATAATGCCTAATTTTTAAGAGATATTATAATATCAAATTAATGTAATTATGCTACAGTTTGACAAAGTTAGTTTTATTTCTATTTCTTAGCATAATAACACGCCTTGAATAATTTCTGTAGACCACGACTTTGGATATTTCTCTTATACGAGGATTTCACTGTAGGAAAACATAGCTGCAGCATCTTTGTTAACTATAAATTTTAGTACCAGTATAGTAATCTCAATTTCATTCCTAGAAAGATTTTACAATAATTCTTCTTTATTATGTCCAGTCACTAGCAATACTTCTTTATGCAGAGAGTCACTAAGATACCAACATTTTAGAAAATATCAGTGTATCTTCCTATAATGTCTAAAATTTTGTAATGAATCCAATGGTGATTTGCCAACCAATTTTAAGTATTAGTACATTTTTTTCCATCTATGCTATGATTATTTGTATTTTTCAGGATAACTTCTGAAAATTTAAAATATTTATTTGGATTGCTTATTAAGGCATTATCAGGGTCTCAGGAGGGAGGAATCTCTTCTCTTTTCCTCTTAGTTGGGAAACCTATACTTGTATTTTAAATCTCTAAACTGCAATCTTTAAGTATTTTTTGCTTAACATAACACTTCTCAAATAATTTGATTATTTTTTATTTCCTTTATCTGACAATATAATTTTTAAAATGCATTTAACCAAAATTAGCCTCCATAGGTACTTTATTTTATAAGATTTGGAGTCTCCTTTCACAAAATTAAAATTGATTCATAATTACATACTTGGATTTCCTGTTATTTCCCCTCAATCTTTCCCTTAGAACTGGAGAATGATCCAGAGAAGATCATTTCTTATATGTGTGATCTATTCATCTGTATATTACAATCTTGTACATGGTACATTTGACCATGTAAACATTAAAAGGCAAATTTTAAAAAAGAAAGATAGCTTGTCAGATAAGATTACAGATTCCTCATAATCTCAATTAAAAACTTGGGGTTTAGTGGACGAACTGGTCCTCAGGTAATTACTAGGCAGAGATAATGGCAATAATAATAATAATAATAATATCTTGGATTTATATGCTGCAATGCTTTTCATTTACCGAGTGAGTAGTTCTCACAAACATTCTGACCTACATTCTGAATTACCAGAAAAAAATACATCTCCCCACCCACAGAAAATTTATGGGACAGGTAAGGTGAACTTCCAAGAGAGTGAGCTATAGAACCCTGCAACATCAGGTAAAAATATGAATCCCATAACACAAACAGAAATTTAAACCTAGGGTCTTTGGATATTTACCCATTTATCAACATTGGCTGACTGATGGATGAGTTTAATGAGGAAATAGCCCATCTCACAACTTTATATTCTAGAACTAAGGCCATATATTTAGGTAACACAATTGGCACGTTTCTCGCCAGTGGTTCACAAGTCTGGCTCATCAACAAATTACTTGAAGAACTTTATATAAATATAGATGCCCTGGCCCTGGACTCAGAAATTCTGGTTCAGTAGGTCTAGGATGAGGACTAAGAATCCAAGTGTGCAACCAACTAGAGAAATCACTGCTCTGAAGAACTCAAAGCCTAGAGCACGTTACAGACTCCAAGGACAGGAAAGGACTCTGGCATTTGCCCCAGCCATCTTCTTCCTAAGATAGGACAGCCTTCTCAAGTGAATTTCATCCATTACAGGTGATTTTCACTCTCCCTCATTCATGCATCCTGAGTAACAATCTAAGGCTGGGGCTGCACCACAATCCTCTACAAACTGTTATTTCCCAATCATAGTTAATATTTTTCTGAAAACATACTTGACCAAAAGCCAATTCCTACACTCTTCTTCCCCAACATATAGATGTGCTTATTTTTCAATAGTGAAATAAAGTAGTCCTAGGATACAGGTTGTACTATATCCTAGATACACAATTCATAGTTCTGTCATACAGAAGGGCCTGGATATGAGTCTTGCCTTTTCCAGACAATCAAAGGATAATCCTATGGGTGACAAGGACTTTATCACATTTACTCACTCATTTCACAACTGTTAATTCAACATCTTATGCCAGGATGTATTAGAGAAGTGTTTCAAGGGCCTTGGGGAATTTATAATCCAGTAGTAGAGAAAATTATGTACAGTGGAGAGCAGCATAACCTAAGAGTGGTTCACAGACTAAAAACAGTAAAAGGTTGTATGATAATTCAAGCAGGATATTTCAAACGCAAGGTGATCAAAGAAGGGTTCACAGAGTAGATGGAGTCACTTATTTAAGTCTTAAAGCACACACAAGTTGTATTGAACATAAAACCTTTTCTTAGATGTCTCAGGCACCATTATGATCAATATTTATTGGGGTTGGTGGGGTAGTTAATTCTTCTTTCGAATATTGGCTTTGGACCCTACCCAAAGCTATAAAAAAAAATGTGAAAAAATATACAACTTTTAAGGCTCAGTTCAAATGTCATCTTTTCTATGGAGCCTTTTCTAGTCTTCCCTCCCCACTTTCCAATGAAAAAGTGACAAACTCCTCCTTTCTGATCCTACTGTATTGTTTTTGTTTTTGTTTTTATTTCAGAGTATTACAGGGGTGAAAATGTTTTGGTTACATAAATTGCTTTTGTAACACTTGAGTCAAAGTTATAAGTGTGCCCATCACCCAGATAATGTGCATTGTCCCCATTAGATGTGAATTTACCCATCCCCTCCTCCCCCCTCCCATCTTCTTGATTTCTGATGAATGTTATTTCCATAAGAGCACATAAGCATTAATCAATTAGTTCCAATTTAATAGTGAGTACATGCAGTGTTTGTTTTTCCATTCTTGTTATACTTCACTTAAAAGAATGGTCTCCAGCTCCATCCAGGTTAATACAAGAGATATTAGCTCACCATTTTTTATGGCTGAGTAGTACTCCATGGTATACATATACCACATTTTATTAATCCACTCATGTGTTGATGGGAACTTGGGTTGTTTCCACATCTTTGCAATTGTGAATTGTGCTGCTATAAACATTCGAGTGCAGGTGTCTTTTTTACAGAATGTCTTTTTTTCCTTTGGGTAAATAACCAGTAGTGGGATTACTGGATCAAATGGTAGTTCTACTTTTTAGTTCTTTAAGGAATTTCTATTCTACTTTCCATATAGGTTATTCTAGTTTGCAGTCCCACCAACAGTAGATGAATGTTCCTGTCTCTCTGCATCCAAGCCAGCATTTGTTGTTTTCACATGCATATATTAATAGCATCATAAACACATCATAAACCTACTTTATTGTTTACATGCATATAACATCATAAACACATCACAAACATGTGTCCACACTGCCCACCTTCACACCACCAATAAGCACCCAGAGGACAGAGACAGGAACAGTATTTATCCAGCTTTGAATCTTC